TGGGTGCGCCAGCACGATCAGCTGAAGTGTTGTGTTGAATGACTTGAGTCAGAGTCGGTGTTCACCAGACACGAAGCGCTGGAACCCAATAAAGGGAGTTTTGTGAGCGCCAAAATCACCCCAAGGCAACGAGTGCATGAAGTGGTAGCTAGAAAATGGATACCCAAGTGTGGCACGAGGAACAAATCGTTTCTGGCAGGCTTGAGGAGCAATGACAGAAGATGCCAAGAAGAAGGAAGTCAGTCCCTCAATGAGGGATTTGATCTAACAGTATGTCACAACAGGTTGCAGGAGCGGCGTCAGATGAAGCAGCTAGAGTGAATAGGGTAGTGTCTATATATGAGGCAAAGCCACCCCCTACCCTGCTCCCTAAGCCGACTTGAAAAAACGGATAGACTGTCTTCAGGGATATCAGGACTTGAAGGCGTTGCGTGCAAGCCAGATATCTCCACCTGCGATGGTAAAAGGTGTTTTATGATGCCCATTTCCGAACACCAGATAAAAATTAGATGATCTGTGAGCAAAGACCTCATCAATATCCCTGATGCAGCCGAAGGCATAGAACACAGTTGTGTTGGAAAATCATAGTTAGTAATACCACGTCGGCCTTGACTCTAAGGCCTACAAGGATCCTGCAACGCGCATTTTCAGCTCTCTGCCCTGGTGATTCCAAGGCCTCTTTTTTCCTTTGTGAAGTATTTTTCGCCCTCTTGTAGTCCATTACCAGTTATTACTTTTTTCAGTATGTGGTTTTCCCGCCATTTACAAAACGCTTGATGTCTGTTTCTTGTGACGCGCAGAGTATCACAATTCCTCTCTTGTGCTCGTTTACTCCGAGGATTTGCCGTCTCAGCTTTAGCGTCAAAGGGTGTAATTCCCTTTTTGGCAGAGATGGATTTGGAATAGAAGGCACCAAGCGGTTGCCAGGAAAAGAATTCAGTGTCGATCTTCTTCTGGCCGATGCGCCATTTGTATTTGCGTCCCCAAAAGCTCTCAAAAGAATTACCTATAACGGGGAATCTTGTCTTAATGTCGGTGTTTTCCATCCGCAAACTGCATCTCACTGGTAAGATACGGGCATCTAGCACATACGGAATTCGGGAGAGTTGACACTTGGTCTACCTAGTCATCCACAAGACAACCAAGACGGCGCTTGCTCCTCGAGGGGTGGATCAGGACATACGACCGGCTTTACTATGGCACTGTGTACAGAGTTCCCTTGGCACACTCTTGTAAAGGCTTCAGCATACCTAGCTTCGACAACACATAATTTCGAACCGTTTACAACTACTCTACCTTCTGCGGTTGATGTACTTGAACATGTGCACAAAACAAATACCGTCGGCACCCCGGGGCGATCAGAAATGTACCCAAGGATAAAAAAGGGAAACCCATCGCGAACGACGGTCAAACGATTTCACGTGGTTCTATGAACTGCAAAGTTTGTGCTTATTTTGGATAGTAGATCCCTAAATGCTGGGTGGTAAAAACGACAAGTTGGCATGCATATTCTGTGGATCATCCAGGAAAGGCTGCACACGTTCGAACGAGTATGACGCGATTTCCGTCTGCAACACCGCTGACCAACGCCTGCCACCCGGTAGTTGCCATTGATATCAAGTGTCCTCAAGAGCCTTCCGTGCAATCTTATGGACACCACTGCGGAGCTGTCGACCGTGTGTAGTTGACAGAAGGCAGCGGACGCGGTCTGCAGATTTGAGCGTTACGTGTGTTCTTCTTTCAGGCGTACGTAAACGACCTTAGGGCTGGATCAGACAACCTTTACGAGGTGTTAACAAGCGCCAACGTTTTTACAGACACCGGAATATAAATTTGCATTTCATAGGGATCTCCATAGTTATCGGTGGCTTTAGGGTCGGAACTTCGTACTATAGGTCTCCAGGTGCATGCATAAATTTTTCTGGAAGGATGAGGAAGAAATATGGAGGCACGGATATCTGACTTTGGAGAAAACAAAACAGAATACTTAACAGATTTCATTAATTGCACGTTTGTCAGCCGCTCAGCTGGAAGGATGTAACTCGTGAGTTTAAAGCCTAGTCCATCACTGTCCCATGCGTATGAAGTGCCAGTGGAAGCCTGAATGCCTCGAAAGCCATGACTGCTGCGCTGTCAGATGTGAACCCAACGGTTCGGAAGAGATACTGTAATAACCAACATTTGAAACGAAAATACAGAAGCATTAAGTATTTATCCGACATTCGTTCCCAAGGACAAAAAGAAAACAGGCTGAGCTAATAGTGGTCGGCAAAATCTAAAGGTGATCAGAGACCTACAGTCCAGTTTACTTAAACGACAAATCGATGCATCAACCGCCGCGCCACGTTAAGTAGGGTTAAATTCCGCGATAAAAGAAGCCTGCCTACCAATCACACATTTATTCGAGCGTAAAGACCATCGTATACATGTACCACAGGGGCAAAACCTTTTTCTCATCTGGGCACTCTACTGAATCCAACCCTTTCACCGTCTCCGTATTTTTGCTTACACATGAGACAGAGAATTGTCGGTCGTTTCAGGCAACCGTTGAGGTAACTGCATTGTAACCAATGTACATGGTGTACCCAAGATATTATAATGCGTTTGTTGGACCTCACAATGACTCAAGCGGCCAGTGAGGAACATCGATTATCGCGCATCCAAAGCCGCAAGCGCCAAATTCCACAATTTGATAGGTGAAGCATTAGTTACACTCTAAGCGTACATGCCTGCACAAAACAACAGCAGGCACCCAAAACAGACAAAGTCGGACGGGCGACTACGTCGCAAATATTTTGTGAGATGTAGAGGGTAACATTCATTCTAGTCCACTTGCTTTAAGTTAGCCTTAGATGACACTCTTATATCGCACCGGTAGCTGACGACTGAAAACACCCACCTTCGACGCCAAGTCTATGAAAGCAGTGGCTGCTTGAGATGCACAGAGGCGGAGCAGAGTGAAACCACAGCAACCGATAACTTTTCGAAGGAACATGCATTTCACTGGCTGTCAAAATTGCGACCGGTTTCTGTCGCTTGAATCCATGTACGAAATCGCGTCTACTTTGTCTATTGTGGTACCGCACTTACTCCTGTCTATACACTTCGAATAGCATGGTAGTCATGTTGTCTTCTCGATCACTCATAATAAATGGCCATCTTATTTTGGTCCTGATTATCCACTGCTGTTGATGATTGGCTGACTGAAGGCAACGTAATGCACTTGTCAACTGACTTGACTCGGTTGTTCATTTTATTTGTAAGTGCGGGTGTATGTTTCCTGGCTTGATTCACGCCGGTACTCAGGTCAAACCACCGGTGCTTTCTGAATGACAGCAGCTCAGAGATTTATTACCCTTTGGTTAGTCAGCTGTGGCTAATGTTTTTACTGCCACAACCATTTGTACCACATTATTCCCAGCGTTTGTCTAAACGGTTCATGGCATCTCTGTGGCGCACTGCGCACAAAGGAGCGGAACACACTCTGGTTGACGCCATTGCAATCTGAAAAAACTATGCGCCTCAGGAGACTGCCAACTCTATTACATTGATAAAGTGGGCCTGCATGCATCACATCACCACCTATCCTAAACAAGCTGCGTGGGCGTAAAGACTTGGTAGAGGGAATGTGCAAACATTTTCCTCACAAGTGGCCATTGGCCTAGATGTGTGCACATCCCATCGGATTGCTTGCAGATCGCAAAAAGCACGGTCCAAGCAACGCGCACAATTGCTCACAACACGATTATCATCTCATAGTAGGCCAATTCCATGGGTTCTGGTTGGACACGGATCTCCAGAGACGGCATGTAACAGCCAAACGGACAAAAAAACTCTTCCCGGTTTTCGCCATTGGTGGTTGTTTGCCTAAAGTTGCCAGCACGACTGGTCCGAATCCTTTAACACCGCATGTTAGAATGAGTCATAGCAAGGGGACCGTCACGGTGAAATGTATATATGTACGATAGTTAGCCGACATCTGCGTACCCGAATGAATGTTTTGGAACCATTAATGTACCAACGACAGCGGTTGTGCGCGCTCGTGCTTGCGGTTTGTGAACGCATGATCATGCCAGACGGTAAGCCACCCACCAGTTGGGAATAAACATTATTATTGTTATTACTTAGATGCCGAAAAACTATGCAGAGGAGTGTAACAGGCTCCCATCCCCCAAGCCCATTTTGGTATGAATTCCATATCGGAAGCGCATAAGAATGGGAAAGTGCTCAGGCGTCTGTCTCATGACACCGCGCCCACCAGGCGAAGCGTGCTATAAGCCTACAAAACCATGAAAGACGAGAGAGACACCAACCATGGTGTTCTTTGTAAAAAATTACTTGGTTTCGCTATGGTGGGCCCCGGGAATGTTGATCCTGTGGTGGCTGAATTTCCGGAAGGTAATGTTTAATCACCTCGCAGATAATGGGCAACGGGCCTGATGTATCAGCAGAATGCTAAGCAGTGTTTTGCACAGAACAAGGCCCCAGGAGAAACGAGCAAAATGTAGGCAATTGCACCACCACATCGATCTAAATGACATCGAGGTATGGCACCGGAATCATGTCAGCCGGGCCCAGTGGGCGAGCAGATAGCGCCACAATTTCGAGGAATTCACCACGGTTTTCAGCACAAGGTACAAACGGTGCAATGGCTAGGGAAATGCAAGGGAGCTTGTGGGTGCCCAGTATCCGCACAAACGCTCATAGCTGCAAATAATTTACAAGTGGAGTAAATCTTTCTACGCCAAAATCTTGCGTTAGCGGGAAACTTAGAGAAATTTCGCCAGAGAAAGGTGAAAACCATTTCAAACGTGCCACTTCAGTTACACATTTATGTGATACATTTGGGCACCTATGAATAAATGGTCGTTTTTGGATTCAGCTAAACACGAAATTCATCTGTGTGATTTTTAAACGGTCAGAACAATGAACGTTTGAAGCCCGCGTGGTTCGAGTTGGAGGCTCTGTCCACCGGAATGCGAGTTTCCGTGAGTAACTAGGCTACTTTGACCTAACCATTTGTACTCAGGCACGGATTAGCACCTTCCTTGGTAGTGGCATGTAGGAAGAAATAATGCTAAGCAGTATCAAACGCAAACTTGCTCATCGTTCGAAACATTCTTCCGAAAGCCGCAATGGATTCGTTGGTAAAAATTCAAAGGAGGAAAACACTGTGAGCGCGTTCGGTGACAACATGACGGCCAGTTATGGTAAGCGATGCTCGTATATATTGTTTTCCAGGAGGTATTGATATAACCTCCCGTTTCACGTTCTGGCGAACCATCGGTAGACAATAGGTGATTTAATTTACCGTCGACCCCTGTTGCGACTCCCACTGGTATTCTGCGGTGTTGTTTTTTCGGTGTTTATTGACAGATATATCAGAAAATCAGTTCGCTTCCCCAGTCGTTGATCTTTCTGAACAGTTTTTAGAGGTTTCCACCCGGTGAGCCTGGTCGGTCCCGGAATCTGATTGAAATCTATGAAGTTTCATATTCAGTTAGGATTCAGCCATTCTCCGCCATCATGTTTGACCAAAAAACGGCTAAAAAGCAACTGGGATCGATGCCATTTTCAAGAGAACTAACTCTAACCGAAGATCTTCACTTGTTAACACTGGAAGGAAACTTCTCATGTAGTTACTGTTCGTTTCGTAGGATTCAATCGGTACATGTGGGCCCAACACCTTGTTATGACGTACGTCTGTATATATGCAGACTCTGCTGGATTTTTCTCAAAGTTTGAACCAAGCATTGGCGAGCCTGCGAGTAAATGTTGCGTGTAAACATGGTCACCTCATATTCTTCTCACTTGTGTTTGGGTAGTTTGCCCATTTTCTTTAGACTTTCAGGTTGTCAAGTCAAACTCTGTGAGGGTAAATCAGGTATTCAGAACAGAATAAAGGCGTTTTAGGATCATCACCACTTAGTATGCTTTTGACAATTAGAAAAATACCAGCTCTGCTTAATTTCAACTTGTCCACAGTGAACCATTTGTCAAAAGTGTTTTGATCAGCTGCTGCAGTTTCATCACCGGAAATAAGGGACCCAGAGGGTATAATTATGCACTGTACGTTATATTTAAGTGAGATTTTATCATTCTGATCGCCTTATTGGGTGTAAAATTGTTCAGTTCGCTTTCATGCAAGGACTCCCTGACTGGGTAAATAAGCCACGCTGTGTCCCGAGTTCCCCAATCAAGTTGATGATGGTTTTCAACCCGACTGAGTTTCATGCTTTGGTACTAAGTCCGAGATTGTCCGCCTTCTTCAGTTCCATTCAGCATAACTGCGCAAATAGATCTTCCGACGCGAACAGCACATTTTCGTATTAGGAAATTCTGTGAGACCTAGTCATCTCGTCCGCCGCACGAGATTTCTTCCTAACATCACCTGGCATGCTTCAGCTTTGATAACCCGGGGTTCCCACAAAAACCTATCAACACATCGAAAACAGGTGGTCGAGCACCGAATGTTCTCGTATACCTTCTGCGTATAGAAACCGTATTCGTGATTTATAGAGCGGTATGGATGAAAATACTGCAATGTATACTCTTCGTGGCAGACAATCTGACTTCACTCTTACGCCATGGATGAAAAGCTGGCCAAAGATGTCTTGGTCTTCCGATTCCTGGAGTGATCTCTTCTTCAGTCAGTCCGTTGGGACGCACACAACTTCTGCAAGCACGAGGTTTGGGTTCAACCCCGTCCAGTCCTGTGGCTGTCGTTTATACTTTGCCTATTTAGAATGTATAGAGTGTATTTAGCAGAACCATTCAGGTTATTTAACATGGGTTTCACCTCCAAAGGATGTGGACCATGAAGAGCGCTATCACCCATGTATTCACTGTCCCTGAAGCTTCAAATCCAACTGTAGGATTTTTAAGTGGAAGAGGGACAATGGGAGATCACGGTCTTGTCTCACACCACTAGACGCGGTAGGCACACGTACACGTATCCTGTGAACCTGCACGCACCAATGGTAGTTAGTTTGCAGCGCCTCTGCGAGGGATCAAATTATGGGAAGTGCCGATATCCAAAACTGCCGTAATTGTTGACGATCAACAAAGCTTTGCTCTTTGAGACTAATGCACTTCTTCACATCTAATACAACTACCGAGGTAAATCAAATTCTCTTCATCAAGTGTTGCCCTTTAAATGAAGCATTACTGCACTTTGTAGGTGCAAGTTACATGCCGAAGAACGAACACGAAGGTGGCTAGCTTGTTGGAAAGTGTTTGTGCTGTATTTTCGTCTTGAAAGATAACGTTTTCATACTCCAGATTGGAGGCCGAAATGATCCAGTGAATAAACCGCGAACTTATTAACAGGAAGGTTCGTGGTTCGAAGCCAGTCTCTCGACCGCTCCTTTCTAAGTTTGTGCAACCTGGCTGTGTTTCAGGACTCATGCTTCATTTGGACGGAATGTCAGCTCGACACCGAAAGTGTAAACGCTGGATGAACAGCTGAACAATTATATATTTGTTGCTCCAGATCGACAAGGTTATCAGAAGCGCTTCTTTGTTCCATCAGTGGGGAAATTTAACGAAAATGGAGAAAGTAGACGTTCTTACCAGACATCACTTTTTTTAAAGAAGCTGTTAGCGAGCTCGCCATGTACTCTTGTACGTTTGGAAGTACCTAAATGTAGGAACAGGGTTACATCCACAAACTTCTGAATTATTTCATGTCGAGCAAGTGCCGTTACAATCACTGATCACGGCAGAATCGAACGCCTTTTTTGAATCAAGAAACACCATAATTAGTGCTCCCCTAGCACCTACCAATGTGAAGATGCAGTCGACCAAGTCTTCACCCGGTTGAAATCCTGCACGATTCTCACGGTTCAGGTTTCTCGTACTAACTTAAGACGGATCAGTGGTGCAAGAAGCCTTATTACAATACGTTTCACTGCTATGTTCATTTCCAGTACCCCTTTTTGAAAATTGGCATAATTATCGACTCATCGCATGTGTTTAGGGGAGGGGTCCCTGAACAGGGTAGGTAAAAGGTGTTCTGGGCCATTAGTACGGCAATGTTTGAATGGGAATATACACTGGTATGCTTCCGAGGCTGAAGGGCAGTGCATATTTACAGTCCTTATTTCTGTTACAGGCCATAAGCTTCAGTGGGAATTAGCAGGTCACCAACTGAAATGCTGTTCGTAACATTCTACCCAAGGACCCACATATCAAAGAGCCAGTGCGGTCTTTGATATTTTCAGCTACAAGAGGCTTACAAAGAGCTGCTGGACGGTTCCGGTGTTTTCGTTTCTCCCATTTTTTGAGCCTTCAAGAGCCAAGAAAACCCTATTAGCGATCTTCGCGGTTGATTAGTTTTACATCGCCCTGGGTGATACGTCGAGTTATATTGTTATCGCTGCCGAAAAAATCTGCCGTCGGATCTCCAGCAAAGCCAATCTTACTAGAGATCCAATGCTTTTAAGATACCAATTGAGTTCTGGCATCACGTGCAGCGTTAGATTTCTCGTTTCAATAGTGCTTAGCACCATATATGACCAAAAGGCAGGCAATGGGAGGATCCGGTTCATGTAGGTGTTTTATGTTTGTATCCATTGACTTCTCAATACCTAAGGGGGGTGCATGCGTTTTGCATACACCTGAAAAGAAATGCAACAACGAATAGGTGTATGATCATAGTCCACAAACTTATTCCAGAAGGACCGCCGTTCAGTGATGAATCCTCACCAACGGCTAATAATAGTGATGTGGTCTATTTAGATTTTTGGGATGGCAGGTTGATATGTGTCACATGGTAAAACGATTTACGTTGTTACGTAAATAGCTACCGCAATGAGATACGTCAGCACACGGTTGCCCTTCGTTGTTCCTGCGTTTGGTGTCCAAAACGACTACCCATTTAAGCTTCACTGACGTTAAGCTTACCTGTACATTCACATTACCAGTGACCACAACGATATCCAAGCTCTTCAGCTTGTAACAGAGCACTTAGAGCGTCATGGAAATTTTCTTCGACAGATTGACATCCACAGTCCGTTGACGTATCATAGGATACCATTCATCATCATCATCACCATGATCAGCTGTAAGAACCGCGTACTTGTCATACAGTGGTTGTAGCCGCCACAGTTTCGTTCACCGATGATTCGGAGAGGTGTGCTAGGTAGCTGCGTATTAGAGGCGGGAGCTGATAAATTGGTGCATAAATACAAGGTACAATTATTGAGTGATGAACCTTCTTTGTCGGCATTATTTCATAAAAGTCTGAGCGAATCACTTGGAGGCGACTTTCAGCGTGTAGCCAGTGAAGCAAGGATGTTTCTGCTTCATCACTTAACACAACATCCTGCTCAACAAGTCCAGCTTGAGCGGCCGCCACAAGGCCAGATGTGCGCAGCCGGGAGCGGGGAGAGACGGGACAGCGGATTCAATTAAAGTACTTCTATCCTGGGTTTTTGTTTCTGAAAGGTGGCGTGCATCAGTTCACAGGGAATCCAGCTTACGAGCAAGAGCAGCTAGTTGTCTTGCTTGTTCCTGAGTGTGAACATCAAAAGCAGCTAAGAAACAGGCTTTCGGGGTTGGATAATTGACCTGTAGCAGTTTATGCTGGTTACTGAAAACGGGCGAGCAGCCTCTAAAGGTGGTGCACGATTAGCAAAGTTTTAATATTGAGGAAGAGACAGTACTCACAGTAGGATAGAATGGGAGAGAACCAATACGTGAAATTGGTGAACGAAAACATCCGGCATTCTCCTACTGATAAACAATTGTGAAGCTATTTTGATTACGTAGCCATCAGTTATCAATGACCGAACATTGTTATTGACAGTCGGTCTCCGAAAAGCCCACTCAGATCATATCCTCATTGGGTGTGCCTTTCCGATCAACTCCCCGGGGAATTTCAAGAAATGTGCCCCTTTATAACCATCGAAAACACTCTGACTCAGAGCATGAACCGGCTTACCAGATAAACCTGTTCAAGATTGTAAGGGCGCATCCTAGAAAGAGATACCAACTGTAACTTGGACGAGATGAGCCCCCATGGATGCGGTAGAAAACTCGGCCTTTGGTTTTCATGCACCCATCAAATAAAATTTGATTGGAAGACAGTCATCTCCATTGAAGGTTGTCAGATGTTGTATTTCCGCAAATGCCGAGCATAACTCAGCGAGGTCTGTTAGATATCAGCTCCATAGCCCGTTAGCAGATAGAGGTTCTTACTGAACGCGAAGGGTCCGGAAATGGAGGAAACCAGTGCAACTGGGAATGTTCCAAAGTGTTTATACCTCATGCTTCAACCAATTTCATTGAGCCGATCAGAAATAATATTTAACGCTGTATATAGAAAAATTCTGCGCGTCTTGTTCGTTGGGTACGAATTTTCGAAGACAGTTTAGTTAGTATTCAGCCTTTTTTCCTTTTACTTCTTCCCTCTCAAATGAAGTCCTGGTTTCCGGGCTTAGATGCTCTCAGATTCTGAACTTCTAATATGCTTTCCTGCCTCGGAACGCCATCGGACTCCCAACATCGTGATTGGTTGTCATCAGCTGTGGGCAGCATGTATTTTGCACGATGGTTATAACTACTGCGTTTCCGTCCGCATTTTATCTGTAGAAACAGGAGTTGACGCGCGAAGCCAGAAGTGATACTGGAATTGGGGAGATATGAAGGGAACGCCATGTGTTGAAGGCAACACCATCGGTTGTTGCGCTCATATGGATGTGCGACTACACCATATCTGTCAGTGTTCCTACTCATTGATGTGACCATCGAAGCGGAGTTTTGTGGTAATGGATTTCATAGTTCGTTGCTAAGGCACTTCTTGACCTCACCTTTCGCATGGCTGAGCGGAAAGAGCTCCCCGAGAAATTTGTCCGACATATGGAGTCTGTAACCAAGCCAACGCAACCTTTGTAGTATGATCGTTCATCTATCGTGGGCGAGTAGTTCCTTCCAAAAACCATCCAATGTACTTCAGCATTATTGATCCAGTGCTCTCGTCAGTGCTCCAAAGACACCAACAGTCAAACACTGAAATTTTGTCACGTCCCGAATGCACAGCAGTTAGGTCCTCACTTAACAATATGGAGTGCACCGCAGCATTGTAAATTCGACCCTTGATAGGTAAGGTTACGTCACGTCTGCACCACAGTTGATGGCAATTCACAAAAGCTGCTCCGGGCTTCCCCATCCGAGTGGCTAGACCACCGGGACTGATACAGCTACGTAGTAAACATTTGTCTATCATCCTGATTGGGTTATCCGCTAGCATGAGGTTAGGGTTCAAGCCCACCTAGTCTTACAACAGCACTCTACACTTCACAGGTATAAAGTATGCACCAAGCTGAGACAATATTGTCCATACAGTCTAATTTTGTTTGCTCTGCGATGGCGCTACATCTAAGGGGGACGTGTCGCCTGTGTATTCAATGTCTGTGAGGAATTTCCCTGGGAGCATTTCGACCCCACAGATGTAAGACGCTGGGAGGGAGCCTTCCAAGTTCATATCGATGATGAAGTTTAAGAGGAAAGGTGAAAGACGACCGGTTTGCTTGATACCACCGGGCGAGATCCTTGGTAAATCCCCACGCGTCCAGGGAAGTTGGCGCACAGCGCGTTATAGAGGGCCAAGAACTTGTGGAGGACACCTTTGTTCTACGGACACTGTCATATTGGCCGGTGATACACAGAGTCAAAGCAGCTTTTAAGCCAACTAAGACAAGCAGTGTTGGTTTTTGGAAGAAGTATCGCTGTTCCAGAACCTGTCGGCGGGAGAACGGATTGCTGATTCTTCGATTGGTGATGGTTAATTCACTGGAAGGATGGAGCGGTTTGCTTTTCATGGCCATATTTCTTTCTGTGTTCGGTCAGCCTTCGAAGGATAAGGCCAGGAAACATTATCCATACCAGAGCTACCAGGCTAATGCCCCGATGTTATTTACTCAGTGGTTGCCTACCCTTTTGACAAGAGGAATGTGTTGTTGTGCCCTATTATGCGGGTACTTTTTCATTCCATGTAGCACCACTATTTTTGTCGGACGGGTAACTATGGATTCTCCCTTTATGAAAAGGACTGAATAAAAACAGCCTTCGAAGATAAGGCCAGGAAACATTATCCATACCAGAGCTACCAGGCTAATGCCCCGATGTTATTTACTCAGTGGTTGCCTACCCTTTTGACAAGAGGAATGTGTTGTTGTGCCCTATTATGCGGGTACTTTTTCATTCCATGTAGCACCACTATTTTTGTCGGACGGGTAACTATGGATTCTCCCTTTATGAAAAGGACTGAATAAAAACTTTCCGGTCCTGATGTTTGTTGCGCCTTGAAAAGGGGTGTTTCCCACTTTACTGCCTGTGATGAGCGATTGATTGGATTCCATTTACCTCTAAATAATTTCTCTGGAGACTGACAGGAGGTCAGCTAAACTATTTTCGAAATCCTCGGTCCATCTTTTCAACTAGTGTATCCCCGAACGAATTACTGGACCCTCTTTTTCGCTTGGCTCTCAATGACAGTTACCCTGCTTTGCCATTCGTCGACTAAGATTATATAGGGCTTGGTAGTTTTCGGTGGCTGCATTTCTCCCCTCTCTTGAGCTCATTATATACTAGGACTTTTCTTAGGATCCTCGCTATTAAGCGTTCGAGAGATATTTATGCATGGTCGTACTCAGCTGCAGCCATGGGTTTCCTAGTATTAATCTGGACCAGTGACCTCGACAATATCTGGTGGTTATTTGGTCGTCGAAAGCTAAACGGATAGCCTTGGACTCTGCTAGCATAGATCTTTTCAACTTGGCTATGTGCCATTACATTTTCGCTACCTTTATGTGTTCATTCGCTGCAGAGTTAGCTCAGGTTGATACTACCGAGCTACAGCAGTTCTCCGACGATGATGGATTGTTATACCCTTGTTGACTTGCCAAGGCCCGATGACAAACGAATCGTCAGACGTACTTGCGCAGTGGCGTGGCCGGCATCAAGTTTTATGCCCCAGAAGTAGCGCTAGTATTAATTTATGGTGCTTTCCCTGTATCTGATACTTATGTAATCCATTCGGGCCCACGATCAATTTGCACTTGGCGGCCGCCTGGTTCCATAGTGCGAGCGCCTTTTTGGCTTGCTAGAAACAGCTTATAGTCCTCTTTCAACTAGGGAGTTGCTCCGCGTTATCTGTGTGGCAGGCATGAGCTCCAAATTGACCACCCAGAAGTGACTCAGACGGCCGCAAGTAATTGCTTATTGTTTCATTCATCAGTCTGGATAAATCTCGATAGTTATCATCCTCACCATCAGAACTGCGATCCGTTGGGGGGTGCGCCGACATTACAAACGGGCGTCGGTTTTTTTACGTCGATTGGCATCGAGTTTTACAAACGGGGTTTTTTTACGTCGATTGGCATCGAGTTTGATTGGGCTGGAATCCCGAATGGCACAAATTCGATTGTTCATTAGAATCCAATCCAACGAAGCGCTTTCAGTCCTAAGGCTGAGTATGTGTTCGATGATCCATCGCTTCTGGATCATAAAATCATAAGGCTTCCAAAATAGGCGAACTGCTTTCTCCAACTAGTAAACTGTCTAGCCCCTCTAGCCAGGACTCAAACAGAGTAAACTATAATTACAAGGTCAACTGAGAGGCGCTGAGTGAGAACAAAGTGATTGTCATCCTTTTAGACCTATACAATCCGCTCTCCACTGTCTCACTGCCCACATCGACTCTTATTCATCCTGAAAAGTCGCTAGCACCCAACCGATCAATGCACTTTAGTTTTTCTGCCATTGCCTATGAATAGTAACAAAATATGTGCGAGGTATTGATCTCACCGATATTTCATCCAAGATGATAGTTACTTAACGCTTGCCACTTGGGGTTTCCTTGTCTGGCCCAATTTGAACCGACATTTAGGCGCACATTTAGGGCACATCTTGCGCCCTAATGTCGACCGATTCACTCCGATGGAAAGGATTCTACTGACCACATTTTCCTCTTGACTGGATACGGTCAGGTTCAAATCTGATACTTGCAGATGAACTAATCAGTGTGAGCGACAACATAATCTACCTGGACAGCTACATTATTCACAGTGCAATTCTACTTTTCGAACAGAAATGGTCGGATCGAATTCCTACTGCCTGTGATATCTGTGTCGTCGGTATGACATCAGTTCACGAAGTAACATTACTGCGCTGAAATATGCCTCATACCGGTGTGCTGTTAGAAAATAGGCCCTGTCAGATGGCGCTGGAAAGTTCTTGATGTCTGGTCATTGGTGCTTATGAAGTGTCGCTCTCACCCGGTCAAGGTATTTCGATGTTTGTCAAGTGGTTTTGTGAGAAAGGACTCACACATGGTGGGTTAGCCTTTGACATTTCGTAGACCGCACTGGTCTGATCCTAGTGTTTGATTGTTGCTTGCAGTTTTGGGTATCTTGTTCGCGACTGTTTCCTTTAGGACTTTATTAGCGCCCCCTGCAGTAAATCACCAACCTCCTGTGCCATTTTAGTGGGACTCCAAATCGTCATCGGGCTGATGTATTTTTTCTCGACCGAATTACACTGATCTTTGTTGCGGCCTGGTGGTTTTTAGCTCAATCTCTGTCAGTCTCCTGACTATTTGAAGCAGATCATACACTCATCCACTTGGTAAGCTCCGTGATTGGTTGTTTAACGCAGCCGTACTGTGTGAACATTATGATGGAGCATATCTAACCTTGAGATCACGGGACTCATCGTTAGAGGACAAAACTTTTGAACGAAGTAAATAAGGATGCCAATTTCGGACATGAATAAACCAGCAATATTAGTGCGACGACCGATTTTCGAGTTGCGCGACGGTCAAATGATGCCTGACGTATGTGATACCCGTTGGTAGACAATACAATGTGGGTAGTCACAATTTGAGTACTCAGTGCATCTTCATTCGTGAAAGTGTGATGAGCTGGTTCACCATTACTTCGCCGGTATTTGGTACTTATACATAGCTCCCATAAAGTTGTGAAGAATGGTGCACTTTAATAAGAACAGCGGTAAAAAATGAAGGATGGGGGTTCAGACAAATGTTGTGTGAGCTGATACAAATTAAGTGGCCCCGAAAAAATCCCGGAGCATGAGGGCTAAGCTATTGCTGGCTTGACCAAGCTTGGACAGTGATCAGGCGGTCAAGGTAGGTTCAAACCAATGAGTTCTTTAATTTGCACCTTGCATTTTAATTTCTGAGTGGTCTTGAAGCGATAGTTTGTTGGAGCCGGTTCAGCAGTCATGGTCCACTTAAGAACCGACCACTGACGAAATCATTATTTTCAGCTAATTCCTACAACATTGAACAAGCGTTTGTATAGTTTCACTATTTCGTCCTCTGGATCATCCCACGATCTCCGAAACAGCATCCACGACAAAACATAGGGTCTAACAAAATCGGTGCTGACCGTTAATCTATCAGTCGCCTCCCTCATCAACCAGATGCTACTGTGTTCAGTTACCTAGTGGGTCAGTAACGCTGGCATCTCACGAACCACTCGCCGAAGCATATGGAAGTAGCTAAGACGTTGATCAATGAAAATTGTGCGTATACTGGCAGAATGAGTCTGGGAAACAAGTCCTGTCACTGTACAGCACTCCCTCCATAGTTGACTACTCCAGAAAGAAATCGTTGATCTTTCGGTTTTGTGAACTGAGGATATAGGAACTGGATAATGTGTATGGTGTGCAAAGTGTACGGTTGTCGGCCAAAGTTCATCATTAACAGCAACACTAGAAGAGAACACTGAAGAACATTGCCACACATCCGTGTCAGTTTATTTCACTAAGGCCTTATAATGGAAAGAATCAGGAAATGGGTTAAGGAGAGGACCTAGGGCTGGCCTACCACAAACATCTAAATTCCATACACTCCCAACGCTCAGTCACACAGTCAGACTAGAAACTGACAGCACGAACGCTAGGGGCATCGGCTAGCTTCCATATTGTTCGGTGTCTCTTTCAGTGTCACCGAGGTGCGCACATCTTCAACACTCAGACAATCCTGATAGAACCCAACAGTATGGATACCACTGACACCAGTTAGCCGTCAAATCGTAGCGTCTCTGGCCAAACACGGAGAAGGCGAGCAATATCCGCCTTCAGACAATAACCCATGACCGTTTGGATGAGCGTTTTCGAGGTTGCATCATACGACTCGTGGATATTTTACTGAGAGCCAATACTGCTACAGCCTGCTCCGAATGAACGACTGAATTGTATAGTAAACCAGCCCTATGCTGGTTTAAGATCTACCCCGTCAGCAACTAGACATTTAATGAAGTGGCGAGTTCGTTCAGTAAATACTTTGCCATCCCGAACCAACATGCACTCGCACACGGTTAATGGGTGAACAGCTCGACCTCTAAGATTATTGGTTCTCTCAGTGGAAACAGTCTTAAGTACTTTAATCGTTCAGTTGTAACACTCAGTGCCTAACTGCCATGCCACCCGAAGGAAGCACGAGGGCTGAGATACTGTCAGGTTGCCCAAACCTAGACAGGAGTGGTGATATGGAGAGATTGGATTTGAACCACGAACCTTCCGGTCAGTAAATTCGCTACAGCCATCTCGAGCTCTTATGTGCTTCAACTCTGGTAATAAGTGGAATGGTTTCTTCCAAGTAAAATGTGGATTTTTTACTTTAATTTCTTTCTTTCTTTTTCTAATCCATGGGAAGATTGAACAATAGTCTTGGATAAATGCGAAACAATTGATTCCAGTTCCAACTCTCCTTTCCAAGATACTTGCCATAAAGATTCTTTCATGTAACCGTTTTCCGTTAGATCCCCTGAGGTAAAAATTCTTGTACAATCTGTAGTTTGTTTGGGAAAGCTGCATGCTTCCGGTAGACTGTAGACTAAATTAGAGCGTTAATATTCCTCACCTTCAGTGATTCCAGCTTCCTGTTTTATCCGTAGAACCCGGTGGTACTTTCCGGCTTCCCAGACCGAGAAAGTGGGCTCGACTGAATGCATGAACAGGTGTTGCCGAAATTTCTCATCTAAAGAATTTCATCCTAGCTTCCTGCTTTCCTATCCTCTGTTTAGATGTAGTTTGGGTACATGTGATAAAACTTGTCGCCGGACAAATATATTCGTGGGCGGAACAGTAGTCAAACCAAGGAACCATTTTTTTCAGCTCTCCATCAAATGTGCACACATTCCGCCATAGGTTTTCAAACCCACCTGTTATTGGTTCAAATCCTTGTCGGCGTGACTACATAGCAGATGTGTATCGATCTCAGTAATCCATCACTGCGATTGTTCTCCTACCGCGTGGTAGTTTTCTGCTGATTCCGGTATGTGCGTCATGCGCCCTAGCTTTCAGTTCAAAGCGTTTGTTTCCATCTGCTTTCGACTGCATGTGTGTATTTGTTTTTGCGTAGCTCAGAAGGAAATTACTTTGTTTTCGGATACCGGTAGCTTATGACTCGGGGATGCCTAGTTTTAACAACTTCCTGTAGCTTTCCAGCCACCCAGTTGGTACGTTGTATGTCTTTGTTTCGTCTCACCGCTTTGCTCCCAGTAACGTCCGTCGGAAACCATTAATCTTCTAGTTTATGTACATATCGATTGTTTTTGTCGTTTTGTCCCCATATGGATTTACGGGTGGATTATTCTCATGGGGAAATGCGTAGATTGTCAATATTTTGAATGTTCAAGAATGACAGATTTGTACAAATGCATAACGGGATTGGTTAGCCTTTGAGCTTGTTCACGTTGTGCTCCTGGCACTACCTGCCTTTATCGCGGTTCGGGGACCAAGCAACTGATGTAACACTGCAAATCTAGCGATGAGCACTCACCCTAGATTCCTGAAGAGTCAGTTTGCTGTAGCCTACTTTCCCTTGGATGTAATGAGCGAAACACGGTAATTGAAAGCTTTGGTTATCTCTGTTGCATTATCCGGAATTCGGACTCGAGCGGATGTAGCGCCAATGGAAGACAATTTCTACCAGTATAAGCTTCAGAAATTTATCATTCACCGATAAAGAGCTATTGAAACAATATGGAACATTATGAGGTTTGCAGAATTTGTAGTTTAGTCATGCCACCGCCGTATGAGCAGTCCCCTGGAGTAATTATTCTGGTTGGTCCACACCTAGGAGTGCAAGCTCTGGGTTTGAGCTTTGCCTTTATGACCGCTTGAGGACGGGAGAGGTCTTCTGAATTGACAACTGCATGGACTGAACTTTTACAAATCCTGGAGCTACTTACAAATAATCAGGATTTGTTCAACGGGTTTCAAGCATATGTAGCTTACAGTCCTGACGGGCAGGTCAGTGAATCAATAGATCCAAGACATCTAGTAAGCCGTCGGAGGCGCTGGGTGAAGCATTCACTCCATTCAAGCGTGGACAACTTCGTCTATTGAGGAGTGCGTTCAGCATGAACTGGTGGAATAATAGCAAAATACTCCTCATATATTGAGTGTTCGGAGTTACACTCCGTGTACAGGTCTCACAAAAGCGAAACTTGAGTTCAGCGCTATCCTCCCATTGTACAAAAAATTACGTCATTCTTCTTCTATGCCCAGCCTCAGTTCCTGGGGAATATCACAGTGAAAAATAACTCCTGCCCAACTGGATGTTTTGCAAGAGGAAGCTTCCTTCTATGTTCACGGGAGATACTACTTTAGTTGAAATACTAGCAAGTAAGAATACATGATTACTTGTACGACCTTCGTGTCCCCCCGAATTAGCCTACCTCTTTCATCTTTCGTGTTTCAAGGTCAGTGTCAAATTTGTCTTGGCTTTCCGTGCACTTGATTAGACCTCCTTGGCCCATACTGATTTGGATGGCCTGTATCTTTCTCAGTTAAAAGCACGAAATTTCAAGACGGAACAAGTTTAAAGCCAGGTGGTATCTTGGGGGTCACTAATTCAGTACTGCTGTTGACCTTTGGAGTTCAGCATGAGGGATTATTTTACGACGGTTGCCTTCGTGCCACACAAGCACTACGTTGGAATCGAGCTGTATCTGAGTAAGCATCCTATATTTTGGGCGGCGTCGCTAAAAATCCGCTTTCCCCGGCAAAAGCCCCCCAGCTGTCTGGCTTTCTTTCTTGGACAACTACCATGTAATTTCACTTTGAAAAAACAAAGCTGAGAAGTAGATCTGAAGACATGCACTCTGTGAGGCAATAGGCGGTTGCTATCCCTTGTGATCCCATGGATCCGGTTGTCTTCATTGCCCATCGCATCGGCGAGATGGCCGAAGTGGTTAGAGCGCGGATTACTAACCTGAAGGTCCGCGGTTCGAATCCGACCTCCGCCACTCGACTTCCCCTGTCTAGGCTTGGGCAACCCGGCAGTATCCCAGCCCTCATGCTTCCTTCGGGTGGCATGGCAGCTAGGCACCGGAAGGGTGCTACAGCTGAACGCTTTATCTATTATCCATCGCACTCCATCATAAATGGACGTGACCTGTTAGCGGTTTTATCTGCACTTATTGTTTGTTCTTGTGAACAGGACAGCCGGGATGACTCAATGAACAGCTGAATTTTGGACGACTCGCATTTTGTCATTTTTTGGGCCCCAAGTGATTCACAGGTTTGGATAAGTTTTGTCACAGAAATTTATGCGTCATGTAGCCATGGTAATCTAGCCGGTACCTTTTATCTGTGAGAGTTAGACGACCTTGTGTGCATCGGGCCGAACTCCACACAATTCGTTGTCTCAGCTGATTGATCATCATGATAAGCATGAATACTTTGTGTGTATCTATACCGTAGTGTGTCTACTTTATCACGCCTCGAACTGGGTGAGTGCGCCTGTCCCTGCCCCCATTGTTGACAGTTAACTTCTTTTTTATTTCACTGTCTTTCCATTGGAGGCCGTGTTTCAGTTCATATCATTCACTCTGTTACCATGTCCAATGACATGAAACAAAACATCACGTCAAGTGAACTTCACTTCCATTCTACTCCGAATCTGATTAGGTCTAGGTTCATATTTCCCTGTCGTGGTGTACCCCCATCCGATTTCTCACGTAAGGATTTAGACTTGTGTTCTGTGGATTCTCGTTGATGACCAACTTTTGAAGTGGATCGTTGGGCAGCTCCTGTAGCCCGGTTTGCCCGTTTCTTACCACTGATACCTGTCCGAGCTTGATTTGTCCCCTTCTTACAGCCTACATACTTCTGTAATTTGTTTCTTTTCATGAGATTCGTTTTGAAACCGTTATGATTCCGATTACGCCACTTACTTGGTTCCACTATGACCCATGATGGTACCTCGCGTTCTTTGGCGTTTTTCGCTGCCTCGCTACTTAAAGTCCAAAACTTCATTGCGCCATTTCAGTTTAACTAATTTGCTACCAACCTATAGATTTTGTAGGGCTCGGTTATTTCCCGCTTACAGTCTTACGTATCAGTTGTCGACCTCCTACTCTATTTCAGGCAATATGAATACTTTTGTGGTCTAGTCCAAAGGCAAACCCTCGAAAGTAATCAGATAAAATTGTTTATACTGTTGAAACGTTGGTATAACTTCTTTGGGGAGCCAACCTCAGTAAACTAGACCGTTTTAGTTCACCGTTTATGGCCGATCCTGCTACTAGAAGGTTGTTTGTAATGAATAGTTGATAATAAATGAAGCGTTGAGCCATTGTTTCAAGGTTTCATTCATCTGTATAAAGAGTCAGGTAAACACAGTAGTAGTTCTGAATTTCCACAGGATATTGATTGGGAATTCCGATTCTATTTGAGATAGGCCCAAGATTGGGACACTTTTCCCCCGGGGGCTCGCTAATCAGTTGTGGAGCGATCGGTGCTTCCATAAATATCCAATAATCGCCAGTGTCTCACCAGACCCCTGGTTTTTTCGAGGACAAAGAATACAGCTTTCTCACCAGCTATATACATATTCATGGAGCAAAATAACATTCGTGGAAGATGAGAAAAATAAATAAAAGGCTTCAGAAAGTTTTAAACACTTACGAAAAACATGAAAAGTCAATCAATTTTGAAGAAGGCATGGTGTCCGACAAAAACATATCAGCTTTGTAGTGTTGGCTGCATATCAAACTCATATTTTTGTGTTGACAGCAGAGTTGACGATAGACCGACCTATTCATCACATCATTTACAATAACCAAAGGTTGGGCGCTGCGAGATATTGAACGCATCTGTCTAATTTAATGCTATTTTTCGGTTCTGTATCAAACAAAGCGAGGTTAACCAATGTTGCAAAGTTTATAAGCACTTCATAGTCGATCGGACACCCTCGATAAATGGGCACACAGAGAAGAATATATCTCTGTCGATCTTTGTTGAAACAACAGCTGCGTGCGGATGTCGTTTTTCATCCTTTTCATCGGTCTGCAGTTGGATATGCATTACATGCCATTTTCTGCATCCGTTCTGGACAAAGAAACTCTCTGTTGATCCCACGTAGTTTAGCCATTTTTTCTCGGGGCATTCGGATTTTCAATCAATAGCCTTCTGTTATCAGATTGGTGAACGCTATTTGGAACTTTACAATTAACTGGTTTCATCGGCGGCGCTCGTTCTGATACCAGGACAATGAATCCTCCCCACTCGCTCATGACAGACACTCTTGTTTGCTTATTTCTTTGCCGTCAGGCTTTTCTTCATTTCGGTCTTTGTTTGGCCACCACCATAGGAGGTCATTTGCTTGGTAGAGTTGCATCCACACAACATCGTTTCACGCGCATTTTGATTGACGTGACATTATGATTTTCCGTCCCGGTTCAGCAGTTTTCTTTGTGGCATGGGTAGTTATGAGGACGAAGTTTTAACGCTAGAATCCCAAGGTGGTCGCAACCGAGCAACTCCCTTTTCTCTTGGTAATGTGAAAGCACGTTTCTTCAAGATTAGGCAGGAGATTTTCACTGCCTTCCATCCATTTTATGTTTAAAAGATCGATTCGCTGTGCCCCTTTTGGGCGATAAATCAAAAAGCGTATTATGGTTTAGAAGCTTAGAGGGGGCGTTTATGAGTGCAGTTATTAAATGGCGTCTAATTATGCTACAAGCCTCATTTTATCCGATGCAATCAAAGGACTTGGTGGCAAATCATTTATCTATTGTAAAGCTATCACATCATGTTTCGACGAAAAGACAAAGATGTTTCTCGATTTATCCGTGATTCCTCGGAAGGCTGGGGAGATGAATACAACATAATTATAATATATTTTGGGGTCTAAATCTGAATATGGCGGTTTGAGGTACGAGCTTTTTAGTTCCGGCCACAACGACCAATCTTCACTGCGAGGTTTTCAATCAGAACGACAAGATCAACAAGATATCGTTAGACCGTCACATTCTTTGTACGATCAATTTGGCTTGCTTTGTGGTGATCATTCATGCGTCAAGCTCAGTTGATCGGCGGAGCTTCGTCAGATTTCAGTCTCAGTCAGTAGTCAGTGTCTGTGTGTTTGTTAGGATTTGCGTTCTACCGTTGAATTTTCGACACAGAGTGAAGGTCACTGAATAGCTCATACAGTACCGGTTGGTTGTATTTAGTTCATACGGCCAGGATGAAATGGCATATCAGTGACAGTATCCTCTCCGACGGGAATGTATTGTAAGTTTGTCATTTTTCTTTCCTGAGGTGCTGGAGCAAAGTTACCAACCTAAGCTGGTATATATTCTGTCTCGCTCTCTGTTGGATACTAGCAAGTGTATCCTGGTACCGGTCTGTGTGAAATCGGTCCATTAAATAATAATTTGCCTCGCGAACTACAATGATCTGTCGTATTCGATGTGCTCCATTCGTTTACTCCTCCTCTAGGGACTAGGAAGTCAACGGTTCGGTCCAAAGTCTCACATCAAAGTTTTTTTTACTGTTGGTGGCCTATAAGAGACTGTTATATTTTGCTTTCCTCCAGAGGGACTAGCTCCAGAGGATTCGTCTCTCAAAATAATTCCCTTCTGGTGGTCTCCCAGGTGGGGACAACTGCTCGACAGTTTACAACACACACGCATTTGTGTTTTTGCTAAAGAGACGCGAAGCTTTGCTTCGTAACCGTAGAAGAAAACCAAAGTCTGTAGTGCATGAATGTGGAATACGTTTCAGATTAGGTAAGAGTTTTGTTTGAGTTTTGAAAGTTTTGTTTCCGGGCTGCAAGGACTCGTTGCTCGAATTCACCGCTGATTTTCCGGATCGTTGACAACCTTAGTTATCGTACATATTGTCGGTTGTACGACAGCTGTACACCCAATAGCTGCTCTAGCGAAACGTCTCGTCTGTCGCATGTTCCGACAAGGACATCTATTTAGATTGAATTTGATGCGATTACACTAATTCCTCCGAACCATAAACACCACCTCGAAAGAAACAAAATCTTTTGTTCCAGAAGTCTTTATCATATACTCAGTATGAATACCCCCAAGAGAGCGAATGCTGGCTGACCGGCTGACCAGCATAAACTGTCTATGAAGAATACCGATTTCCTCGGAAAACAAGCATCTCTACCACACTTCAACGTAATTAAATCTGTTGTCATGAGTCATCAGTTTTAAAACCCTTGTTAACAAGTAACAAGAGGTCGCAAACTGACTGAACATGGTGTGGTTGCCAGGACGGCGAAAACGACCCGTTATGTCGTGATACTGTTCGTGGCAAACTTCTTACTGGTCTATCTCTTGCTGATGCACTCCGTAGGTCACTGACGTGGAGGTCAGCAACAATTCGGACATCATACCATCAAAACCGTGGTTACATAATTGATAAGGTGAGCGTTGTCCGGTGGACGAGGTGGTTGATGGGACGATGAACGACAACGGATGAGGTCAGGACATGTGGTAAACGGTGTGAATAATCTGTCCAATCTATCCAATAAACCGTCTCTATGTTCGGTCTGGCACAACCACCCAGACGCGTTCCACCCTTCGGCATAGATGGATGGCAAGGCACCCTAATTGTTTGTCTCTGACGTTTTGGTGAACTAGGACTTAATACGGAGGCTTTTGTTAATGATGAGGCAATTGTTGTGTACCTGAAGAAGAAAGTTCTACGTTTCAACATCGGTTCCATTGGACGACTGAGTGATAGCACCTCTTCTGGTTCCTTCATTTACGTGAATTAAACTGTGGTTGACTATAGTGCCTTGTCCGAGTAGCCAATTGTCCCTGGACAACGCGAAGGATCTTTCAGATTCCCCGGAGTTTATGGGAAATCAGCTTAGCTTGAATACTAACCACTTGCCAGTCTGTGTCACTCCGTACAAGATGATCACTCCGGCTTGTAATTCCCTTCCGCGCCCACCAAGACCACGATACTAGCCCCAATTAGTTGTTTCGTCCAATTCTGGTGTTTTGAACCTATGGACATAACATTTATCTCGGGCGTTGCGGCATTTACTGACTGTGCCGGCTTTTGTTACTTGCTCCATGGAATGGTTGACTGGATTTCTTTCTGAGAATCGAATTCATTCACAAAAGGACGGTAAACCCTTGGCAACTAGACAGCAAGTCATAGGATTAGTGACACGGCATGTGATATGTATTCGTTTCTTCTCTAAATCGTCTCAGGAACCTCTATCTGGCTGCTTGCAATTAAGCATCCACACACACTCCAATCCAGACATCACAACGTTTCTCTTTCGAGACACTCGAGCAACCATGATTCATTCCCCGTTTTTCCAGTTTCAATCCACCTACAGACACACACAAGTAGAAACACCCCCATTTCTTTAGAATTTGGCTTATATTGATTCAGATTGATACGATAACAATTCCAACTTCCCATTGCCGGTAGCGACAAACGATATCTCGCTGTAGTAGCTATCTTGTCTCAGTTCACATCACCCCCAAGGTGTATGATTCTAATATCAGCTTTGTTGACAGTCATGCTAGTAGCCAGCGGGTGACTGCACTTCATAAGTTGCTAGGTTACTGTATCGTAAGTGCCGACGGCCACTGTTTGCTATTGACTTCACGCGTTTCACGTACGTGTTAGGACTAAGGTTAGGCTATTCCTCCTCCACTCACATCAGTGGGGAGGGGAGTAATTTTATGCGAAACCGTGGGCTTTATATCGATCTTGTAAGAAACAAACCGCAACTCTACCCGGTAGCATGTTTCCCGCCGGAGAGTCCATTTAAAGAAACCGAAAAAACAGTCTCTTGTGAGAAGAAAAAAGTAGTCTATTTCAAATAACCAAGAGACTCATCTCGTCGAGACAGAAATTCGATGCTATCCCTCTCTTCTAACCTACTGAAGCTTCTACTGTACTTTCCACAAAATCTATGGATTTAAGCTCGTTCTCAAACGGACGAACGAACGGCCACAATTTGTCCACGACTTAGACTCGACGATCACAAG